CTGACAATGCTGAAGCATGCATGGGCTGCCCATATATGGTGATTTTGTTGAACTTGTCCATATTGGGTTTCATGGTCTAAGTTGATGAGGACGACTGACCAGGTCTCTTCCTCAAAAGGGCACCAGATCTCTTTACAGATGGTTATGAACCACAACATGGTTGCTGGGAGTTGAACTCAGAACCTTTGGAAGAGCAGGCAGTGCTCTTAACTGCTGAGCCATCTCTCCAGCCTCCAACAAATTAATTTAAGGATATATAAAAATTCATGCTAGCTAAAGACAGGCTACCATCATTAATTCTGTACTTTTATTAAAGATCTTTGTCATATTCAGTAATGTTTAACATCACCCTTTTCTGCATCCTCACTATTGTTCCTTTCTGGGTGCAGTTTAAGTGTGTAGCAATTTCTCCTAACAGAGTCCTTACATGGGACAACTGGGTAAGTCCATTCTCAAGGCCCTGAATGTCACACATGATCCTCTATGCACACACATTTAATTACATGCAAGCATATGTGCACACGTGCCCACACACCCATGCTGCCTACGTGTATCAGGTGCCCAGTACCCATACATGGTCTGAGTTCTCTAAACATGCCTGTTCATTAGTGACTTTCTCTGCTGCCAGTGGAGCCCTCCCAAGCCACTACCATGTCTGATATCTTGTAGAAAACAGTACTTTCAAGTAAGAGAAACTTGAGCTTCAGAAGAAACACACAAAGGCTTTGAATGTACTAAGTGGAAAATAATGGATTCTTATACAATCAAGGATATTTCGCCAATTATACCAAGCAAGTGTATAGTCCCTGCTGTATCTATGTAACAATTAGACATTCTGGGAGATAGCTTATTAGGTTGGCATTATAATATTAAAAATCTGCATTTATTTTTTTCTAGATATAGTATGCTTATATTATCATCCATTTTGGATTTTTGCAATGTTCTAGCCCTGACTAGGATACACAGCAAGACTCTGTTTTGAAAAAATAAAGGAAATAAAGAGAAGATAAGAAACCTTCACTTGAACGGGACTTGCACACACAATACACACAAACACAAAGATAAAAAAAATCAAAGGCTGTCAGATCAGACAAAACAGGAAATTCAGTATATGCTACATAACAAAAATCACTTCAAATATAAACCGATCAGGATGTTTACAAGTGAAACACAGAAAAGAGAGTCATGAAAACATTAATCAAAACAAAGCATAAATATACATCAGGAAAAAAGGTAATTACAGAATCAGAACAAGATGAAGAACATTTTAATTTAGTCAGCTCATCAAGATTACATAATAACTGAAAATGTGTTATACATAATGCAGTTTTAAACACATTATGTAATTGGAATGAGAAACAAATCTAAAATCACAGCTGGAAATATCATGATGTTTGTGAGGAAAGGCTCTCTCTCTCTCTCTCTCTCCCTCTCTCTTTCTCTCTCTCTCTCACAGACATGCACACACACACATTCATGCAGGCACTCTCTAAGATTTCTTTCTTGACAACACGACATCAGGAAAATATGGAAATTCTCAACACTTTAAATCACAAGAACGTGGTTTCTCTGACGTTTATAGAACAGTCCCAGCTACAAAAGAAGAATTGTTTCAAGTTCACCAGGAACACCACCAAGGTAGATCATACTCTGATGCATACAACCAATAACCTCAAACTTTATTAAATTATTCTTTAATCACAACATTCAAATTAGAAATCAATAACACAAAACTCTCTGGAAAATCCCCAAATGTTTAAAAATCAGCATAACATTAGATTATTATTGTAAATTGAAGGGAATCTGCATGAAAGGAAATGCTTTAGCACAGTTGGTGAGAATATAAATTAGTTTGAAAATAGAAAACAGTGGGGGGTTCCTCAAGGCATTGAAAGTAGAACCCCCATGTGATTCTGTAAACTTACTGCTGGGTATAGCTGAAAGGAAAATAAAATCAGGCTGCTGAGGCAGTGTCTTCATTCTTATATTTACTGTAGAATTACAATAGCCATGGGACAGAAACAAGCGTCCCCACCACCAGATGAATGAATGAGTAAAATGTTGTGTATGTGCTGTCAAATGGTTTGGCCTTATGGAAACAGGAGGAGGTGCAAAAGAAATGGTTCAGGGGTTAGGAGCACACACTTCTTTTGGAGAGGATCCAAGACCAGTTTTCAGCACACATTTCAGGCAGCTCACAATTACCTGTAACTCCAGTCTCAGGGATCCAGCGCCCTCTTCTGGTCTCCACAGGCACCTGCACTCACACGCACAACTCCCCCTACCCCACCAACCACCCGAACACAGGTAATTATTTTTTATTTGTTTGTTTAAATCTTTTTTTTAAAGAAAAGAAAGTTATGCCATTTATGACAGCATGAATGGAAATGGAGATAGTTATGCCACCTGAAATAAACCTGGTCCAGAGAGCCAAGCACCTCGGATGTGGAGGCTAAAATTGCTGCTCTCAGAAAGGTAAAGAATAGAACGGTGGTTAGGGATGCTGGTGGCAGTAAGGCTAGAGGGAGACTTAGAAACAGCTACTGACCTGCAGTTAGGCTGGAGCAGGGGCTTGGTGTGGTAAAGAGCAGGGTGGCAAAGAACAGTAATGGATATTTCTGAAAACTCGAATAAGAGGGTTTAGAATGTTTTTACCACAAAGACACAATAAATGAGAAGATAGATTGGCTTACCCTGATTTGATACATGTATTAAAATATCACATGGCACTCAACATACATTGTTTATATTGTATATATGTGTGTGTGAGTAACATTGTTTTTAATATATGTGTGTGTGTGCATATATATATATGTGTGTGTGTGTGTGTGTGTGTTACTTTGTTACTTTTCTCATAGTGACAAGAACATTTGCGACCTAGCTAGATAAGGGCTTCTGTTTGCTCACAGTTCTGCGTATCTCATCCATCCTGGTAAGAAAGGCATGGCAGTGAGGAAGGCATGGGGGCAGGGGAGATTGCAGCACAGTTTCATCACATCCTGGCAGCTTAAAAATACAGAAGGGGCTGGAAACAGAGCCAGGTTATAACCCTCAGAGCCTACTCCTGGTAGCCTGTGTACATCAGATAGACCCCAAGTCTCAGAGGATCTATGTCCGGTCAAAATAGTGGCACTAGCTAGGGAGACAGGTTACATTCAAGCCACAAAATTGGCTAAAACAAGTTAATTTTAGAATGAAGTATAAACTGCTAAAAGTTAATTTTTATCTGTTAGGACAAATAAATTATTAAAAGTAATAATGAGAAATATTATATTAAATGCCTTGCCTGTAAATAAAAGCTCATTGGCATTTAGTATTCTTTCCCCCCAAAGATCCACATCAAAGATTTAAAGGTTTGTGTTGAGACTATTTAGCTCCATTATCCAAACATTTAATGAGACAATAAATGTTTAACAGGTGTTTGCTTTTAGCACTTATTGTTTCGCCCAAAAATTGCCTTCAGAGAAATAATCAATGATTTAATATTCTGTATTATTTTATGGTAGGACACATTGCTTCACTCAATGTATATTTACTAACATTTACTATGGTAATATAGGTAATAAAGACACTCATTTGTTTTATATTCTTAAGAGGCTTTTAATTTGAGAAGGTTGTACGATAGGTAGATGAAATGCTTCACATCAGTAGATATTTTAGAGGGGATACAAAATATGCAAGGGGTTCAGAAGACAGAGAGATAAGAGCGAGACACAGAGAGAGAGAAAGAGAGAGAGAGAGAGAGAGAGAGAGAGAGAGAGAGAGAGAGAGAGAGAAATGAAGGAATTTGGACCTCGGGTAGACCATAGTCACTAAAGAAGCCCTGGGGATGCGTCAGAGAGCATCATCAGCAAACACACTTGTGTTACAGTGTCCTGAGTCCTTTTCTTTTTCCAGTTTATTCAAAGTTGCTACTCCTTGGTCACAAAACTACGAAACACAGAAGTACATCCATATTTGCACTGTAGTATACTTTTTCAATTAAGAATTTATTTTTTTTTTAAAGATTTGTTAAAGATCCTGAGTCTTTTAAGTGCTACCTGTGTTACTGAGTACTGAGACTTTCACTTCCTCTGGAATCTGGTTCCCTCAACTACACTTTCTACAACTGTGTGTGGGGTGGGACTAAGAAGGTAGGCTGGAGACTTCCTTTCTGGGACATGCACTGGCTGTTCTGCATGAGATCCTCCAGCAGATCTTCAGTCTTTTCCAGACACATGTGCTTCTGGGCGTTTGGGAGGGAAACCATAGAGGGAGTCCTAGCTGCGCTACACCAACAACTGAGATGCATGGAGGATCTTAGCAATGGGGAACTGGCTATCTGTAATTCAAGAGGTATTACTGTTGTAGAGATGTTCTCATTGGTTTACCAGGGTGACAGCTATGCTAGGGAAAATGGACCAAACGACTGTATCCATCTCTCCTCACGTATTTCATTACTTGCCAGTTTCATATGTTCATAGAGAAACAACACATTGTAGCCATTAGATTGGGCTTGTAGATTGTTACACTCTGCTGCTATCATGAGACTATAACCACATGGATAATTTTTACTTTTATCTTATTGTATAAGCTACAATATTAGATATTAAACTGAATGGATGAGAAACAAAATAATCCAAGATGGTTGATACATATTTTTGCATCAATTTGCCCAAATACATGTGTACATTTACAATTCTACCTGAAGTTTTAAAGTTATCAGGCTGTGGGTTTTAATGTTTACCTCTGAATGTAGTCTAAGTACTGCTAAGACTTTGATAAATAATACTCCACAAAATAATTCTGCTTTTAAAAAAAGCTTACTCTCAATAAGAGAACATTACTAAGCCTGACTAAACATTTAGAAAACACATTGTGTTAAGTGAAACCTTGTATGCAATGAATAATGAGAGCAATAGAGGTTCAGACTGGACAACTGTAATTGTCTCAAGAAAAGTATACAGTGGGGCCAACTCTCCCATTACTTCCTCAAAGAGCCAACACAATGGGGAAAGCAAAGGAAGTGTTCCATAAAAACCCTGAAATGGGAGCCAGAAAACCTCAGACATAAACTTGGGGAAATGACACACAAGGAAGCAAAGGCAACAGAAAGAGTGTCCTCCACCAGAACCGGAGAGACATGGAAGGCCAACATTTCCTAGAGCTGGAGTCTCACCAGGTGAGCGCAGCCGTCAGCACTCCTGTCCCTCACCATGATTCACCTACAGCTCCCTGAAATGGTGCTGCTGCTCTTGGCTCCTTCCACTCTCTCCTCCCTAGAACCGAAACTGCTTCTCTTCCAATCAAGAGTGAACGGGGAAAGTTTACAGCTACTGAAAACTTTGCCCATCTCACCAGTCCTGCCGTGTCTAGCACACAGGAAGAACTTCCAGCTTCCTCAGCAGGCCGTGAGCCGTCACCAGGACCAAAAGGGACATGCACTGGCTGTTCTGCATGAGATCCTTCAGCAGATCTTCAGCCTCTACTGGGCGCGTATTTCTCCAGGTGCTTGGGAGGAAAACCGTATAGAAAGAGTCCTAGCGGCGCTTCACCAACAGCTGAAATACGTGGAGTCGCTCACGGGACTTCAAGCAGAGCGGAAGAGCCGTAGCTTGAGTGTGCAGAGCCTTAGGTTACAGATTAAAGCGTACTTCAGGAGGATCCGCGACTACCTGGAACACCAGAGGTCCAACAGCTGTGCCTGGATCATTGTCCAGGTAGAAGTCAACCGCTGTATGTTCTTTGCGCTCAGGCACGCGGGATGGATGAGCAAACAAGAACTAGACCCTTGAACACTGTGAGGCAAGAGTCAACAGAGGATTTTAAAAGCATAGGTTGGTGGCAGAGTGCGAGGGGATAGATAAACATTACTGATTCTTTTTGGTGCATGATGGCTGCCTTGTTTTGCGTCTGTGTGTCTTTAACTGTGTCTTAAGATTGCATGACTTGGCTGGAGTTATTTTCATTTTGCCACGCCGTGTCATGTTTTCTACCAATTTTTAATTATCTGATAATTAAAATTGATTCATTAAGATTACATAATTGCTTCTTCAAGTGGTGACATTTTCATAGAATTCTGTAGCTAGAAATGATGAAGTATGACTTTAATGTAATTAGCATTCCTTAACAATTCCAGGGAATGCCTTGCTTACCAGAAATTGTTAGAGGTCATGAGTATGTGTTAAAACTAAGACCAAATACTGAGTATTTCTGTTACAAGAGACTAATAGAAATATGGCCAAAAGACATGAACCATTTTCAGAGGAATGAAAACAGATTTAATCTCACTCATTATAATAATAATAATAATGCAGATTACGACTAAATAGCATGCCACTTTATCCTATTAGGTAACACCTCAAGGTTTAATTAAGAAAAATGCACAAACTGCTGAGAAAGCAGGGCTTCTCCTGTATGGTAGTCACTGCGAGATTGGCAAATGCTCTTTTAATTTGCCAGATCAGCAGAAGCTGGCACAGGCCATATTCTCAGAAGGGAAAATGTTTCTGCTGAAGAGAATGAGGAGATGCTTCCCCTACATAAATACATAAAGCAAAAGATATAGGAGAATGTGCCTAAGTGGTATATTTGGGCAAAACCATGAAATAACTTTCATATTTGCTCTTGCTGTCTGTAAAGAACTAAAAAGAACACATGAAAAATAAGTTACAGCGGTAAATTAGTGCACTGTGGAGGAAGGAGAGGCAGATTTGGGGGCACAGACTGGGGAAGGAGAGTTTTCACTCTTGTTTCTAAGTGGTAATATTGAGTCAAATTAAATGTATCTAGCTAGTTAGGATTCTCAGAAATATCAGTGAAAGAGTTTTGCTGCTCAACAAAGGTGCTGGCTGAAGGCCAGAGGAAACAGGACTGAAGCAGCCTGCTCTTGCCTGGCCATGGCTACAAGGAAGCTGAGCATGCCCGCAGGGAGGGGTTTCTGCCTCAGGAAGGGTCTGGTGCTGACAGGATCACCTCTCTCCTGGGCAAACCTCTTAAGAAGTTCTCACAAAGCAACGTGGAGCAAGCTGTCTGAAGTCCACTGAGATTTGGTCTCTTTGCTACGTTATCTGGATACAAGTAGCAAGGCAAAGGACGCAAGCCCCATAGCTACTTCTACTTGGCAATCATTGCATAATCGACCATGGAAGTTACTACCGAGCTCAGAGGCTTGCTGGAGAGACCGTCACCGTTTAGTCTAAACAGTGCAAGCATCTGTTGGGGGATGCTTCTAGATTCGGCTTGAAATGAACGAGGAGAAGCTGACTGGGCTTCTGGATGTGAAGCGGTCCCCACAGTCAAGCAATCTTTCCAGCAACTGCAAGCACAGGAGCTAGCTGGCAGGGAAAGCCCTTGCTGACTTCGCTGTGAGGCCCAGGATAGGATCTGTTTACCTTTAAGTTCATGCAGAGGTAGTGGAGTCAGGGAAGAGGTATTTACCACACTTGACTGCAAATACAGGTCGTTTTGCTTTTCCTGGTCTGGAAAGCTTTTTCGGCTCTTGTTTTTCTCCTTCAAACCGGGAAGTTTTCAGAACCAAATCCATCGTCTAACAATTATTCAGCTCTCCAAACAACCTTGCAAGGTATTTTCTGCTATTATCTGTTTTTCTCAGGTGGAACCAAGACCTCCAAGATGAAGTAACATGCTTAAAGGAAGACAGCAAGTCCCAGAGCCAGCAGAAGCCACAGCAGGAGCCCCATCCCGAGGTACCCCAACTTGTGGCTCAAAAAGCTGTTCTGCTGCAATACTGCTGCACAATAATCACTTGGGATAATAATTCTCGTCTAGCTCGTGTCATGACCTCTGAATCCCAAATTAAAGAAAAGACATTTCCCCTTCTCTAGACATCCCTTTCTGCAGGAGCCAGCTCCTACAAAGTCATTTTGGGTTTCTGGATGGCGGACCTTTGAGGCCAACGAAAAGTCAAAAGAAACAGAAGACAGGATAGAATCGGGAGGTCTGTCTGGTCATGCCAATGCAGCCAAACAGCCCCAGTTTATTCCAGAACTTGCCTATATCCAAAAGCAGGAGAAGCACAGCACAGACAATCAGTATCTAACCACAAGATCATCCCTGTCCTTGGGTGAGCAGCCTCCTCACTAACATGGGCTCGCTGCTCGGAAGCAGCCTCACTCTCTATCTTGATGTTCCTGAGGTTTGTCGTCAGCAGTACACTGTCTACTAGACAGAGTGTTCTTTCCTCATGGACTAAATCAGAAGTCGCTCATAACCCTCAAGGTTATTGGAAAAGGCAGAGCATGCAGGCTTGAACTCAAATGGCTTAAGTCAGAAATGACTTCAGATGGAAACGGAGTCACGCATGAGCTCCCACACCTTTCCTCAAAACTAAGAAACTGGATGCTCTGTGAAAGGGGAGGAGTGGGAACAGCCATGGTTGCTATCACACGGGAGTGTAGAGTAAGCCAGGCAATGGTGGAGCACACCTTTAACCCCAGAGCTCGGGAGGCAGAGACAGAGAAGGCCAACATGGTCTATGGAGTGAGCTCCAGATGACCAGGGTTACACAGTGAAACCATCTGGGGGCAGGGGTGAGTTAGAGTAAAACCATCTCTGGTTCTGAACAGCATTCAGTAAAAGAGAGGGGAATGGAGATGGGGGGGCTGCCCACCTCTTTTATAGAGGCAGGGGATGACTCTGAAGTGTAACCATGGCCCTGGATATGGAGGGCATAGTCTGAAATTCTATCTCTACTGAAAAAAAAAAAAAGATGCTATCTGAATTTCTCTGAGCGATTGCTCTGTTAGAGTCCATCTGGGCTGTGAGTGACGCTGGGTGAGTCAATCAAATGATTTAATCTTTCCCATTGTTTTTTTTTCTTTAAAATATTCTATGATGCAACTAATGCAGAAGGAAAAATAATGACTTCCACAAACTACAAAAAGAAGTATGTAGCTGTGTCCAAAAGGAAAATGGGATTCGTGACCACAGAGCAGTGGTTCTGACCCATATCATGTATGTTCACATGACCAGATATTCCTGCTTCTCCCTGTCCCTCATGTAGGGCACCCCTTTATTCCTCTCGTTGCCATGGCCAGATAGCTAACAAGAAGTGACTTAAGGGAGGAAGGGCTTAGTTAACTCTCTGTTCAAGGGTTCACAGCCCAGCGCAGTGGGCATGGCAGGGCGGCTGGCATGTGAGGCAACTGGCTGTAGGGCTCACAGTCAAGAATCAGAGAGCAGACAGAAAATGGGTCAAGTTAGCAGACTTCAGCACCCAATCTCAGTGACTCAAACTGTCTATGACAGTCTGTGTCATAGTTTCTTTAGCTTTCCCAAACAGCTCCACCAGCTGGAGACCAAGTAGTCAAACGCCTGCACCTATGGGAAACCACAAGCCCACACACACTGACTGGCAGAGCTGCTCTCAAGGGTTTTCTAGTAATCCCTTCAAGGGCGGGGTCCAGAATATTTACATCCTACACAGTCCTCTTCACAATGGTGGATGTGGCCTTGTGCACTGTGGAAATAGGACAATGATGACAAAAAGCCATCACTTAGGGACATAGAAAATAAGCTGATTTTATGGCTCACTGTTGGGTGCTGAGACAGTAGGGTGACCCACTGTTGGGTGGCGAGACAGTAGGGTGACCCACTGTTGGGTGGCGAGACAGTAGGGTGACCCACTGTTGGGTGCTGAGACAGTAGGGTGGCCCACTGTTGGGTGCCCAGACAGTAGGGTGACCCACTGTTGGGTGGCGAGACAGTAGGGTGGCCGACTGTTGGGTGCCCAGACAGGTAGGGCACATTCGTGAATTTGTAGAGTCTTTTCATGAGTCAGGCAGTGATCCCGCCCTACATTGATAAGCTTTCCACATTTTTTTTCTCCCTAATCTCTGATGTTGCTCTCTGGGACACTCCTCCTCTGTGACAGTCTTTCTATGAGTTTTTCAATATTGTGATTGAACCTAGGACCTCACTCAAGCACTCTAGCTAGGTGCCTTGCCCTTTCTTCCTTTCCGTTTTCGGGGTACACATTTTAAGATAACAACTCACTACCCTGAACTCACTGGGCAGTCCAGGCAAGGCTTTGAACTTGAGATTTAGAACAGCTGAGTTGTAGCTTGTGCCACCAAACCGTTTAACTATTGCACCTGGCTGAATACAGAATGGCTACAATAGACCTTCTATGCGTTTCCATTCACTCACTTACCCTTCGTTGCTTTCGTTAAATAATTTATTATTTTAAAACTACTGTATGACCGCATGAGCACTGAAAGACAAAATGAAAAAAAACTATTAATGAGCATCAAGGACAGAAATTCTTTTTAACTTAATTAAAATATAATTACATCATTTCCCCCTTCTTTCTCCTAGCCCTCCCATGCATGCCTTCATTTTCCATTCCTAGCTTCCTCTTCTCCAGTCCTTGTTGTTACAAACACACACACACACACACACACACACACACACACACACACACACAGAGTCATTCAATATTGGTGAACCAATTAAAGGGCTCTTCTCAAGGAAAGACTAATTCTGCCACTATTAGCAGTTGCTAATTGCTTATAAAGCTTCCTCTCTAAGGGTAAGGCCCCATGAGATTTCCCCCAGTCTAGGCTGCCATGTCAACTGGTGTTGTCATTGTTCAGGTCTGGTTCAGGCAGCCATGTTGTTGAGATTTCCCAGTGATGCTTCCCTGTCCTAACTAGAAGGCACAGTCTCACAGCAGACTTCTTGGTCCTCTGACACTTAGAATCTGCCCCCTCATCTGCAATGTTCCCTGAGCCTTCAGTGGGGAGTTTCTGTTATACATGTATCAACTGGACTGGGTACCCCTTGGTTGGTTCTTTGCATTTTGACTAATTGTGACTTTTTGTGATAGTTTTCTTCTGCTATAAAACAGAAAGCTTTTTTGATAGGGTTG